ATTGGGATAACAGTTGTAAATAAGAAAAAAAAATAAAAAAAATCAAAAAAAAAAAATAATAAAGCAATAAACAATCAAAAAAAAAAAGTTGTTCTGGATATCTGAGAATTGACTGATCATAAAACAGATAAAATTAAAAATATTACTCTTGACTATTAAAAAAAAAAAAAAATTCACTGGCCTGTACATGTACACACAGCAACCTTTTAAAACAAAAGCTAATCATATTCAGCCTTGAAACAAAGTTATTCAATAGTTTCCCAATGTCTCTTAAAAGAGAAAAATGATTCATTGGCCTACAAACTCTACAAATTCAACCCTGCCAATTCCGTCTGTGCTTTAGTCACGCTGGCCTTTCAGGTCCTTAAGCTCACCAAGTTCACTGCCACTCAGCTCTGTCACAAGCCCTTTAACCTAGCCAACCCTTAAGACCCAAGCTCAAATGCCATGTCCTCAGCAAATCTTTCTTGACCCCTTTAACTATACTAACAGTGGCCTGACTGAGTCGGGAGTTTCTGAGTAGTGCAAATGGTTCACACGCTCTGCTTCCATCTTTATACTGACAGCTCCTGATGATGGTGATTGTGTCTGTTCTTTGCAACAGACTCCCACCAAAGTCAGGCCACTGAATTCAAATTTATTAAATAAAAAACAAATGAAAACCTCATTATCCGATCTTTTCTTGGCATTGACAAGAATGTGAACCCTTAAAAAAGAATACATTTAGCCAAGTTTGCCTTTAAATAAAACCATTACCAATTCCAGATGCTTGTCTATCAACTTCTATACCTATAGAGACTAACTCCCTTATTCCTAATTTCCTAAAATCAACAATTACTTCATATTCAAATGCTTTAATTGCTGGCTTTACCAAAAATTGACAGAAACGTAATGGAGTTATTTTGATTCTGGATAGAACTAGTTCATTAGATTCACAATGCTTGGCCTAATATTGAATATCTAGGATTAAATATCTCTGTTATGCAATTCAAAATTTTCTATGAGATGTCAGAAGGCGGGCCTGAGAAAGTCTACTTCTCTGTAGGTTATTCAAATTAAGCTTGGCAAAGCTAGGCTAACTAATTATAGAGAAATAAGCAAATACTTTGTGAGAATTCAAATCACTAAGCACAATTATTAACATCATGATTATTACATTATCCAGCCTTCCAGCTCCTGTAGAGATACCATTTCATTTTTAAATAGCTACAATTAACTTTCTTTAGGAATAAAAAAAATAGATATGTACATATATATGTATATGTGTATGCACACATATCTATGATTCAAAAAGCCAAAATTATCTGATAAAACACTTAACTGAAAAACATACCTATTAATTCAGGTATACCTTTTTCTTCTCACTCAGGGACCAGGGATGCACTTGTGTGAACAGAAATCAACTATGCTAAAAAAAATAGAGAAAAACAAGTACTTCCCTCAAGTGTCCTTGAAGTGGCCTGAGAGGGCAGATTCTTCTTTGAACAGACATATTCTTGAAATAATGAGTTTAAAGCACTTAGCTGCTAACCAAAAGGGTGGCAGTTCAAACCCACCAGCTGCTCTGTGGGAGAAAGATGTGGCAGTCTGCTTCCACAGAGATGACAGCCTTGCGAGCTCTGTGGGCAGGCCAACTCTGTCCTACAGCATTGCTATGAGTCAGAATCAAATTGATGGCGATAATTTTAGATTTGGTTTTGATTTAGGCTATCAGTGTATAGGCTACAATATACCATTTTCATTTTATTTTCTCACCTTTTATACTCAAATATGCTAACCATAAGCTTTAGAGCTCTAAAGGTCGCTTCTAAAGACACATAAACCAAGTGAAAAATCTCCTATCTTTTGTTAACATTTATTGGGTATAGGATATACAGAATTCTTTGTACTTCTTTTCCCCCCAAAATTTTATGAGTCTAACATTATTTCAAAATGAAAATTTTAAACATATTACATTTAATTTGAATCTAAAAGATTCCCCTCTTTGGACATTTTAAAACTCTCTTTGGACATTTTAAAATACGGCAAAGATGTAATGCCTTTGTTTACAGTTTGAGTTAAATCTGGGTGGAGCACAGACCAGATTTTCTTCATTTCACCCAACATCTCGGACACAGGTTATTTTTAATCAACTTCTCTTCCTACCTGACATGCTCGATTGCAAGGGCTGTCTCGTCAAACGCTCCTGAATCATCAAACACCACCCACAGCTCCTGCAGGGGCAACCGGTGCTCCTTCAGATCAAGGAGCTCATTCATACACTCCAAGGTAAAAGTGCTCACTCGAGATTCACAGAGGTATGGCTCAGCAAGCCTCACCACCGCCTTCAGTGCAGAGAAGTCCACGTCTGTGACCTGAAAGTAAAAATAACATGGCTTGACTCCACACAGGGAAAATCAAAACACATAGAAAACACTAGCAATAGCCTGGTTATTTTTAAAAGGGTGAATGGGGGTTAGGAGAAGGGGATCTCCTTCCGTAACATGAAGGATAAACAGACAGGCCTACGTTAATCTCACGGAGTTTACACTGTAATCAGGAAGGCAACTAAATAAGCAGGTAAGATGCTGATGAGAATGACTAGCCGGGATGCTTGGGTTTGCCGGGATGGTCAGTGAGCTGCGGGGAGAAGCAGGACAAAAAGGAAGACTGCCATCAGGAGAGCCAGGGCGAGTGCCGGGACCCTGTGGTGAAGACAAGCTTGGCTGTGGACGAGCAGGAAGAGGAGGAGAAGTGGGAGAGAGACAGAGAGATCAGGAAGTCTGAGGGCCTCACATGTTTCTTACCACAATGAGATACCATAAAGCCAACTCTGGGCCTAGTAAATGCAATGAAGAGCAAAGGCACATCTCTCTTTTAAAACAATGACAGTGATGGGGGAGGGAGCACTAGTATAACCAAATCAATAGCTCTGAACCAAAGATGACAGCACAATTCAAACATTTTAAACTCACAAGGAATAGCTGCAATCCTCTGTTCTTAGGAGCCACCGAGTCAGTTCCCATGCATAGCAACCCCATGTACAACAAAAGAAAATATTGCCCGGTCCTGCTTCATCCTCCATTGCCATGTGTGAGCCCATCGTTAGCACCACTGTATCACTCCTCTCCTTTGAGGACCGTTCGCTCTTTGGCTGACCCTCTATTTTATCAAACATGATGTCCTTCCAGAGGAACTTGTGTCTGCTGATAACATGTCCAAAGAGACATGTCTCAACATGAAATCTCACCCTGCTCCCTTTGAAGGAATATCCTGGCTGTATTTTTCCAAGATACGTTCCTTCTGGTAGTCCATGTTCAATATTCTTCAGCAACCACATAATTCAAAGGCATCAAGTTTTCTTCAGAGTAACCCACTGCCTCATCTATAATCACTGTGGCATGTGATGTCATTTTCTGAAGAAACTGCAGCAACACCTTGTATTCACACTCCTTGGTTTAACAGTTTAGTTTAACAGGGATTTTTTTGTGGTCCAGTTAACAAACACTGAGCAAAATTCACAACTATAATTAGAGTGCAAATCTAATGTAAAAGGGCCAGTGGGCTGAAAATTAAGATTGTTTTTAGCTTTCTGGAGAAGGACACATTATCAAGGGATTAGCCACACATGAACAAATTTGTTAGGCAACAAATGGGCTAGTTTTAAACTGTCTTTTTTATTTCAGCTACTTAATAGGCTATCACTAAAACGGTAAAAAATTAATTGAAGCACTGTTGACTTCACAATTAGGTCTCTGTATTTTTTAAATGATCTCAAATACTTCTTGCCACATCATACTTGTTAATCCATTGCCCTATCACAGGACACTGAAACGGAAAGCACCCTGGAAGCTCCTCCTCAGTTGCTTATAAGATTTGCAGTGCACTTTAGGCACCACACTGGGAGCACAGTGGTTAAAGTGCTCACCTATTAACCAGAAGGTTGGCTGTTCAAACCCACTAGCTACCCCATGAGAGAGATGTGCGATCTGCTTCCATAACGACTCACGACCTTAGGAACTCTGTGAAGCAGCTCTACTTTGTTGTACAGGATAGCCATAATGGAGAACCAACCTGATGTGCATGGGTTGTTGTTTTATTATGCACCATGGCAATTAGACATGAAAAACATGCTATTCCAGTCAGCTCATAAACTTTCATTACAAATAAGCACTTTGGCGATAACAGGCTGAAGGAAAAGTGCTTTTAGCTAGAGACAAGTGTCTTAACAACAGAATTAAATTTACCTCGACCAGCACCTCGAACACATGAGTGTGCCAGACTGCCCGCCATCCCGACGGTTCGAGGACCTTCTCCAAGAACTCAGCTGTGAATTCTCTTACCTCAGAGGCCTTGCAGTCAGCTACGAACAAATTAAACACAGTCAGAATTGAGACTGCGCAAAGCAGAGAGAAATTAATAAAGCCATTAGGTCCACTCTCATCGGTCCCAACCACTGACAGTCTGAGACAATCTCCTTTACACAAAAAGGATCAAAAGAAAGAACTTACTCACCTAAAATGTAATCTTGATAGGCTCTGAATCGCTCATAGAACAAAAGTTGACTTGTTTGGAAAATTTCTGGGAAAGGTGTTTTACCTTCTAGAATGAAACTGTGTAAACTAGTAGCTGCCTTAACATAATTGCTACAATCACTGCAGGAGTCCTCATCCTGGAGCAAACCTAAAAGAACAAAAAATAAACATTCTTAACTATCTCGGGCATTTCCAGTGTTCCTATCCAAGCAAAACAGAAAATTTGGGTATAGCTTACCTCTATCATTGTCAGAAGGAAAAGAGAAAAACTAGCTTTCCAAACTTAAGCATTTCAAAATGCAAGATCTACTTCAAAACAATAAAACCAAGAGCCTCAATGAAAATATGGATGCTATAGCAAATTGTGGTGAAAAAAATCAGACAGAGCCCAGCTATCAGAAAGAATAGTGTCTGAGGTCTTAAAGACTTGTCTTAAAACAAACAGCCATCTAAGTGAAGTATCAGCTAAGTCCACACAGAAAAAGTAGACAAGTCTGTGTGATCCAAGGACTGTAAATAATAAAACCAAAGACCAAAGGCGGGAACAGTATAGAGCTTAAATTCTGAGCACCCGGTTTGCAGAAGGCGATGGATGACAATGAAAGCCTCAAAATCAATTTGTTGGATCCTCATGTGGATTAAGCCTCTGGTGAATCCCCTGTGAATAGTTGTGCTATCAAAAAGAGTACATTGGAAAGTGGATTAATGCAGCTATAGTTCAGCTAAGAGGGAGCTCTGGTGGTATAGTGGATTACAAATTGGTCTGCTAACCATAAGGTCAGCAGTTCAAAACCATCACCCACTGTGGGAGAGAAATGAGACTTTCCACTTTACTAAGAAGTTTGTCTCGAAAACCCTGAGGGCATCTCTACCCTGTCCTACAGGGTTGGCTTGTGTTAGAATTGACTCACTGGCAGTGAGTTTGGTTTTGGAGTTAGGTTAAAATTTAACACCTTATCCTTTGTTCTCCCTTTTGGCCCATTTTAAATTTGTCCTAGTTTTTAATTTTTTTCCTGCTTTCTCTTTTATCTGTCTTATGTTTTCGTTGTTGTTATTAGGATTTTTTGTTTTTGTTCTGTATTTTTTCTGTTTATGAAATCCAGGATAAGTAAATCTATAGAGGCAGTAACTGGATCAATATTGTCTTAGGGTTATGGCAGAGGAGGTTTGGGAAAATTTGAGTACAAGAAAGAAGAAAATGTTCTAAAACAGATGTGGTGATAATTGCACAACTTTTAAGATATAGTTAAACCATTGAATTATATATGTGAACCATATGTCAATAAAACTGTTACACAAAACAACTTAAGATCTGTCACCAAACCAAAAACCAAACCCACTGCCATCAAGTCAATTGTGAGTCATTGTGACCCTATTTAGGGTTTCTGAAGCTGCAAATCTTTACAGGAGCAGATAATGTTGCCTTTATCCCATAGAGCAACTGGTGGGTTTATAGTCCAAAGCTTACCTGACACTGTGTCCTGCAAGGTTTGGGAAAGGCAAAGGAAAGCATTTGTTTGTTCATTTTTTAATCCATGGGAAACTACTCAAGTTCTACTTAAAAGAATACAAGTTAAGGTCTTTACTAAGGATCCCTGGTGGCTTAATGGTTAAGAGCTTGGCTGCTAACCAAACGGTCTATGGTTTGAATCCACCAGTAGCTCCTTGAGAAAAGAGAACTGGCACTGTGCTTGTGTAAAGATTACAGCCTAGAAAACACTACTGAACCGCTTTACTTTGTCAGAAACTCAACTCAAAGGCATACAACGTGATCTCTACTATAAGGGATAGTCTACTATAAGGGATAGTGGTGGTTCAGTAGTAAAATTCACTCATGCAGGGCAATCTAGTTCCATCCCCAGTCAATGCACCTGACGCACAGCCACCATCTAGCTGTCTGTGGAGGCTTGTGTGTAAACAGGATGCTGAACAGGGTTCAGAGAAGGTTCCAGACTAGGGTGAATTAGAGGCTTGGAATAGGAAGAAAAGCCTGGTGATCTACCACAGAAAATCAGTCAAGGAAAACCACAGAAACCACAATCAGCTCCCCAACTGATCATGGAGATTGCCATCCCAAGCCCCAACTGATCATGGGGATGGCCCAGGATGGCCCAGGACTGGAAACAGCACAGGGCCAGACATAAGGACACCAACTAGTTGGCAGCTAACAGCATAGTCTTTATAATCATTATCATATATTAATGTTCAAGGATCTTTCATTTTTTCCAAAGCAATTATTAAAAACTGCAAAAATAGAGCTGTAGTTGATTTTTTTCTATAATCCTTTATTACATGAGCTGAAGTTTGCCCTTATTTTCTACATTATCAGCCACTCAATGGCCCCTCGGTAAACAGGGATGAGAGATTCTTAATAATGCATATGGTTTACTTCACTAAGCCTACTAAGTTTCTCCTCACTAATTTCAGTGACAGTGTCTAAGGAAAAGATTATAAAATACTAATCACATTGTTTGGGTTGTAGGCAATTTTGTTTCATAAGGCATGATTCAGCCAATGGCACACCTAATTCTGTGCAATAAGATACTTTTAATAGATGAAATGTTTGGACTAGTAAAATAATTTCCAGCAGTGGTTTCAGAGAGTATTTGAGAATATTACAAGCAGCAGTCTCTCTCTCTCCCTTCCTCCGCCTCCTCATTCACCCCCTCTCTCACTCTACTTTCATTTCCTCCTTCCTCCAATTGCTTTGCCAAATTCGATTCAAGCCCCCAGAATCACCTGACCTCAGTGTCTTCAAGATTCTACAGCTCACAGGCAAACCCTGGTGCACAGGAGCCTTACAGAGCAACAGGACCTTATTAGCTGAGTGACAGTCTCTCATGGCCTCAGTTTCTTTGCCTATAAATGGAGGATAAAAATAGTATGCCTGTTTCTATTAATATAAGACAAATAACAGTCCCCATTTTTGGTGTGGTCCCTGGGAGGTGCAAACTGCACTTGACCGCTAATCTAAGAGTTAAAAATTGAACAGAAGGGAAGCTCTGGATTGTTAACCTCAAACTTGGTAGTTCAAACCTACCAGCTGAGCTGAGGGAGGAAGATGAGGTGATCTACTTCCTATAAAATGAGTTGTTACGAGTCCAGATCCACTCGATAGCTCTAGGTTTGGTTTGGGGGTTTTGATCTGCCTTCCTGGTAGAGAAGCTGCCAACCAAAAGATGGTGTATTTGAACCCATCAGTTGCTCAGGGGAGAAGATGTGGCATTCAGCTTCCGTAAAGATCCCAGGATTGTATCAGAATTGACAGGACACCACACAGCACCAACAACTGACTTCTACGAAACGCCCACGGAGCAGGTCTACTTAGTAACACAGAAGGAGGGTCACGCCAAGGGTCAGAATCCTCTTCAAAGCAACACGATCCCTCAGTACGCACGGTGTCGTTCATAAATTACACTTCACATCAACCGAATTCCTTACCCGTTGAAAGTAGTTATTCTTCGCCCTTTATTGACCTTCACCTTTCTGTAGGGCCAAGCCAAAAAACGGAAGCCAAGAGCCATGTGCCACGTAAGCAGGTTAGTTAGCAGTGGACTTAATCTTTTCTCCTCTCGCTGGATTCTTTTCCCACTGCTCGGTCCTACTTAAAACGCCACTGTCAAGACCTGACCAGGCCGAAGTGTCAGTTAAACAAATGAAGGAAAACAACCAGATCCGCACGAAGCGGTGGAAAGCTGAGCTCTGGTCGTCCAGATGTGTTTCCGAATTGGCTCCCCAGACCCTGGGAATATCAACTACCCTCGGTGCTCGGGAAAGCTGGCCGACAAAGGCCTCAAGTGTCCTCACTGGGAGCGAGCGGTGTCACTCAAGGCCCCCTTGGCGATGCGGGTGAGCCTTTTCCACAGATGCGAGGGCACAAGGATCCGGAAGCCCGACCAGGCTAGATGGGCGGGGACTTCCCGGTTCAAAGACACTCCCTCCCTGCAGCCCCCAGGGACACGAGGCAAGAGGGTCTCAGCCAGGAGTTTGCCCGGGAGCTCCCGACTCTGACCCCCCAGGAACAGGTCGGGCCCCACGACCACCACTACCACCCCGCAGCGCGGCGGGTGCCGGAGCCTAAAGGTCCCGCCGATAGGAGGGGGACTCCTCGGCCCCGGCGAGGAGGACGCCCACCTTTCCCTCCGCTGGCCGGCTGCTCCTCGGGGGTCCAGCCCGCGGGCTCCGGCTCGGGCTCCGGCTCCGGTGCCATCGTGTCAGACTCCAGACAGGCAGCCGTCACCAGGCCGCTCGCCATTTCAAATCTCCGCGGGCTGCGCTGACGTGGGCACGCCGGCGCTCCGGATTGGCTGGCCGCGCAGCAGCCAATGAAAAGGCGGCCTGAGCTCCTTGTTCCCGCCTTCTAACCAGCCCGCCCACCCGGCCCACGCCCTGGCTTCACTAATTGGGTGACGGCGTTTCTCCTTTTTTTTTTTAACCAGTTTATATTAAATACCAGGAGCTTCAAAAGTTAGTGGGGGAAACCATCTTTTACGTTTTTCCACCAACGTTTTGAAGCCTCCTCGTACATTATGGAGTGGCTGGAATGTGTGTGAGGGACTGTAATTGTTACTTGGTTTTACTTGTAAATTACAGGAAGGTTTGCAGCGAATGGGTTTTCCATTCAAAAATTCATACACAATTTGTAGTCATTGATGGGAATCCCCACTAGTGATTGCATCACTAACCCCGTTTCTAACAGAACTTCCCGTTTTAACGTCTGTCTTTTTCCTATCCTTTCCTGACGTCTGAATTGTGTGCCCTTGGGCAAATGCTGCACTTGTTATCTCAGTCGGTTGTACATCCTAAGAAGTGTGGACCTCCCTAGTGCTACGTGTCTGTTGTTTAGGGCTCTGGTGTGCTGTGGATTCGGAATTGGGCAGCTAACCGCAAAGCCAGTGGTTCAAACCCACAAGCTGTTCCGTAGGAAAAACATGGGATTGACTGCTCCTATAACGTTACAGTCTGGAAAACTCTAAGGTGCAGTTCGACTTTGTACTATAGGGTTCTATTGGAACCAACTGGATGGGAGCAGCTAAAAATGGAGCCATTAGGGTGAGTTCAGTTCCAGACTGAAGGATGGCAAAAGATCATAATCTTTCAGGGATTCCACCAATCTCTAGTCAGCCATTAAACCAGTTCGTTTATATGATTGTGAATTTTATTCCACATTTTTCTCCCACTCTGTCCAGGACCTGCTGGTGTAGTGGGTTAAGCATCAGGCTGCAAACAGGTGGTCCTTTCCCTTTGTTTTATTTATGTAGTAGATTACATTGATTGTTTTTCTAATGTTAAACCATCCTTACCTGGCTTGTGTAAATCCCACCTGGTGATAATGGTTTTTGTTTTGTTTTGTTTGATAGATTCTGTTGTCAAGATGTTTTTTGAGAATTTTTGCATCAGTGTTCACGAGGAATATTGATGTTTGTTTGTTTATTATTGGTTTCTTTCATGGTTTTGGTATCAAGAATATGCTCACTTTAAAAAATAGCTCTTTTGCTTTGTCCAGGGGTTTCCGTGCTACAGCCACTGCTGCCTCTGGTCTCTGCCTCTACCACTGCAGACAGAGATCGGAAACATGCTGTACTGCTAACCCTTCCTCCTTGATGATCCTGTGATTTCTCCCTCTTCCCGCTCTCTTATATCGAGGTATGTTTTTGTCTTTCAGACCATACCCCAGAGGAAAGAAAAGGTGGTGACTTGCTTCACACCTTCTAGTAAAGCGGAGACCCAGAATGTATACTACTTTTACTCTATTAGCAAAACATTTAATCCCTCAAAAATGAGAGTTTAACTTCAGGTACAACCAAACCTAAACTCACTGCCATGAAATTGATTCTGATTCATAGTGACACTATAGGGCAGGGTAGAAATATCCTTGTGGGTCTCTGAGGCTGTAATTCTTTATGGAAGTAGAAAGCCTCATCTTTTTCTCACTGAGCAGCTGGTGACTTTGAACTCCTGACCTTGTGATTAGCTGCCCAGTGCATAACCACTACTCCACAAGGACTCCTTGACCATCGGCATAGAGGCTGGAATTTACCGTATATCACCAAAGGGATTATGACTAGAAGGACCATATTAAGTAATTAATTACAAAAAATTAATTAAATAAATAAATAAAATTTAAATGACGTAATTAGCTACATCTCAAGTTATTTACATGGTTATATCACCTCTTAATGAATGCTTCATTGCCAAACTACTGAAAATTCTGGCCCAACCATATTGATATAAAACCCAGCTATCAAACCTACAGTATCTATTTAATCTGCAAACACCATGAGTCCAGAAATATTATTACTCTCATTTTACAGGAAGAGGAGTCAATAATAAACCAAGTAACTTGCCCAATTGAACCCAACAGAACTCAGATTTGTGACAAGTCAGGGTCCAAAAACAACTCCTTAAGGGATTTGGGGGAACATTCCCAGTCAAGAGCTGAGATCATCCAGAAAATAGAAGTTAGTTAGCAGGACACCAAGTGGAATGAGTCCCAGAGAAGGTAAACAGCTTTGTTGTGACAGCCAATGAAGTCCTAAATCCAAAAACCAAGTCTGTTGCCATCGAGTCAATTCCAACAAATAATACTGGCAGTTATAGAGAAATGTGCAAGAGTGGCAGGATACAAGATCAACAAACAGAAGTCTATTGGTTTGCTATATACATCAGAAAAGACACCCGAAGAGAAGAACAAGAAAGCAGTACCCTTCACAATATCCAAGAGCGAATTGAATTATCTAGGGATATATATAACCAAAAAAGAAAGAAAGAAAGACATACAAGGAAAACTACAGAACCCTACTACAGGAAACCTTATAGCAACCTCCACCAAATGGAAGAATATCCCATGCTCAGGAATCAGGAGACTCAATATAGTAAAGATGTCAATCTTACCCAAGGTACTATGTAAGTTTAACGCTATCCTGATTCAAATACCAAAAGCCTTCTTCAAATAATTAGAAAAACTGACCACCAGTTTCATATGGAGATGGAAGAAGCCCAGAATTAGCAGAGAACTCCTCAAGAAGTGGGACAAAGTGGGAGGTCTCACCTTACCTGACTTTAACACCTACTATACAGCCACAGTGGTCAAAACAGTGTGATACTGGAAGGATGACAGTGCTCAGTGGGGGGGGGGGGGGGGGGGGGTGCGGGGAACATTCAAGAAGTAGAGGGAAGGTCTGTTTGTTGAACTTGAGGAATGCTTTCTGGTGGAGTCTGATGGGGTGCCACGCTCTGGCCCCAAAGTCTATTTTGGTATTCTCTGAGGACTTTTCTGCTCTGTTCCCCTTGCTGTTCTGTTGCACTCCGTTAGTGTTTTGCCTCAGTGTGGTGAGATCAGATCAGGCACAATTCCCATGCTGTGTCTCCAGTGTTGTCCCCCAAAGGGCTATGGGTCAGTGGGGGATGTCGTGTCTCATAGTGGGGCCAGCCTTATGGTCTTCTCTGTGCTTTGGCTGCTCTGAGAGGGAATATCATCATCCCTCAGGGTTTTCTGGGCCAGGATGTGCTCCACTCTCTCTTCCTCCCCCTTCATTTGGTCCTGTGTGCTCTGATGAGACATGTCCCTCTCCCTGAGCTGTAGCTGCAGTGCTGTCCTCTGAAGTGAGTTCTTCTGCGGGGAAGGGGGCTGTCCACGTAGTTAGGATTGGGGCTGGCCCCTCAGAGCATCAATATTTTTAAAGTTACCTTAAATGCTATGAAGCAAACTTCTTTTCTCAGGCCAAGTTTGGCTCATGGCCCTCCAGATTCCAACCTCAGCTCTAACTCTTGTTACTAAGTAACTACTGATACTCAAATAACCCTTGTTTTATAAGGTAACCAAGTAACCCTTTTCAAGTTACTTTCCTGTGCACACTACATGCATTATAGTGCTCATTATTTGTGTGGGTGCAGTATATGAGGGAAGTTCTGTAAGAAAATACACTTCTCAAAGCACAGAGCTTGTTAGAAATGTAAAGTGCTGGCCCTAGACGTGCTGAGTCAGAATGTGTGGTTCAGTCATGCTCCACTCACCCCAGCTAAACTGACATCACTCACAAAAGCCTTTAGATCTGACCTCTCTCCTGAGGCTTTAAATTTTTATCTCCCGGCTGGCAAACCTGGCCTGGAATTTCCACCTGTGATTCATATTCACTGTGCTACAAAGTACTTCCTAAGTCCAGCCCATCCTCCTGCTTATTTGTGTACATCAGATCCAGGGCCCTAGTCTAGGAGCTGGAGTCAACCAGCACTGACATGGGAGGGCAGGTGTGAGAGTTAGGTTTCATGTCACCCTGAGTGGACCAGTATTCTCCCATGATCTGATCTAACATAATGTGATCAGCTTCCATGATGGGATCTTGTATGAAGCAGCCAAGCAGTTGTGGGGACAATAGATTTACTTAATCTGGTCATAGTCTTCATACAGTATAGGGAAGTGTCAATCATGGTGTGGTTTATTCCTGAAGTTAGTGGGCTTCTGTGGATTTAGATACTGCATCTGGTTCGTGGACCTCTGGTCATATCACCTGCCAATCCCAAGAGCCATCTGCAGACTGCCGACCTAGGGTTCATTCAACTCATCGTGGACTCATTCAGCTCAGCATCTGCCAACCTTGGTCTTCCTGTTTCATCTTCCTTTTTCCTGTTTATTAGCCCCTGTACCTACAGAAGTCAGGAAAAGCCTTCAGCTAATATCTGACCCATTTCTATCTATAACTGTGTGGGCCATTTCTCTATATAAATAAATATATATATACACACACATATATATATATATATACATATACAAAGAAGCATCCCTGGCTTTGCTTCTCTAGAGAACCCAGCCTAGCACAGGAGGGAGCAGTGGACTCAGCCTATTCCCCAAATACAGGGACTTAGTATTTTTACAGCATTCATTCTATTCCACCTTCTCAGTCACAGCCCCACCTTCATCTCCCACAGGTATTTGAGGCAGCATTTGGGAAACTACTTTATCAATGAAACCTTCATCCATCCTGACTCCTGCCTTAATAATTAAATGCTCTCCATTATTGCTCCTCATTCAGGGCTCTCCAGCTTCAGTGCCCAGAAAGACCAGGTGGGAACAGAAAAGAGCAGGGTAGAGACTGGTGTCGGTGGGGAGTTATGGAGATGCAGGCCCAGTGCTGCCACATTGTTTCATCAAGAGAAATAAGAAGTCTAGACTTTTGTGAGAAGCCTCCTATTTTAAAAATGTTGGCAACTTAAAAAAATTTTTAACTCCATATTTAACCAAATAAAGCTACCTGT